ATTTTATTTGTAAAATTACTTTAGATTATTTTTAATTTTAAGTTGATTTCATCAATTTCATTATATAAAGTTGTTATTTATTTTATTTTAAAAATCAAATTGATTTATTTTAAATTACAATCACTTTATAATTTGAAATAGTAATTTAATTTCAAATTACCTTTAAATAAATTTAAAAAATTTCATTCATTAATTGTGATTTGATTTTAAATAGATTTTACAATTTAATTATTATATTATCTATTAATTACCAACATAGAAAATAAAAATTAAAGAAAAACAGAGAATAAATTGAAAATGTAAAAAATGTTTTGATCCGATTGATTGAGTTGACTGAGTTGAATGGGTTTCACTGGTTTGGTTGGGTCTGAGTGGGTTTGATCGGGTTTTGACCAGGTTTGACCTCCAATGGATAAATATCATAAACCGACCCATTTATAGGATCAATTTTGGTTCAATTGATTGAACCGACCGAGCCAATCCGATTTGAAAACAATGTTTGCAATCTTTATGCACTTCTTGCTATGTTTTCCCATTTCTTTGTTTATTACATATACTTATATAATTACCATTATTACCTTAATAATAATTTAATTTACTTAAAGATGACAGATGATCGTCGTTGGATGTATATACGACGAGGTTCTCGTGGAGATTGTGATGCCGAATTCTTTAATGGATTACAACAATTTTTTGATTTCGGCTATAGTTGTCTTGGTGTTCACTTGAATGCCGAAATTCGCTATCCCTATAGTAAATGTGAAAATTTACCTCACCACAACAAGGCAACTGTAACAGACCATCTGTTGAGATATGGTTTCATGGATGCATATTCTATGTGGTGGGCACATGGTGAAACTTTAAGTCACAATGTTGATCCATGGTTAGCTGCAAGTGATGTGACATCCTCAAGTAATATTAAGGAACATGTTAATATTGAGGAACATGTTAATGCTAATGATGATATCCATCACATGGTTTATGATGCATTCTGTCCATCTAAGAACGATCGCCCTAGAAATGAAATAGAGTTCGCATCTGAAAATGTTGGGGATGCGCCAAATAGACATGCACAATCTTTTTATGACTTGTTGCGTGCTTCAACCATCCCACTTGGACCATCATCTAATAATCAAACGTTGCTTGGATGGTTATCATATATGCTGCACTGCAAAGCCAAAAACAACATAACTAGTGTTGGTTACAATGACATCATTAAGGGCTGTAAGCAATTGTTAAGTTTGAAAGATCAGTAAAAAGTATCGTCAAATTTTTATGAAGCAAAAAATTCATGAAAAACTTAGGTTTAGGCTATGTCAAAATTGATGCATGTGTCAACAACTGCTTTTTGTATTATGGTGATGAGGCCAAGTCACTTACTGTTTGTCTAGTTTGTGGTGAACCTAGGTATAAAAAATGTAACTCGATTCAAACTCAAAAAAAGGGTAGGCCTAGGAATTCTTTGTGGTATCTACCCATTATTCCATGCCTATATAGGCTGTACATGTCTCATAAAATAGCTGAGCATATGACATGGCACCTTAAATGTCGTGTTGATTTGGAGATCCTCATTCATCCTGCTCAGTTTACTGCTTGGAAGCACTTTGATGCCGTTCATCCTTCATTTGCATCCGATCTGCGAAATGTCCGTCTTGGTCTTACAACAGATGGGTTTAACCCGTGGGGTCATTCTTCGAGGTCATATTCCTGTTGGACTGTTTTCATTGTTGTTTATAATCTTTCTCCTGAGATGTGCATGCGACCTGAGTTTATATTCCTTACACTTGTTATTTATGGACCAAAAAGTCCAGGAAAAAACATTGATGTTTTCCTCCATCCCCTTATTGATGACCTGAAATGGTTATGGTCATCAGGGGAAGAAACATTTGACAGCTTCCGTAAACAGAACTTCACAATGCAATCCATACTTATATGGACAATAATGAATTTCCTAGCTATGGTATGGTTTCTGGATGGAGCACGCATGGTCATCCATCTTGTACAGATTGCATGGAAATGACTCGTGCTTTTTACTTGCAATATGGTCGCAATATCTGCTTCTTTGACTGTCATCAGTAATTTCTTCCTGCATCACACTCGTACAGAATGGATGCAACTCAATTCCTTAAGGGCCACCTAGAATTTGGCCCCCCTCCTCCACGATTAGATGGTCATTCCATTCGACTTCGAATTGCTGCACTATCTGTTGTTTTATTTGGAAATCCATCAGTAAACCAAACTATTCTCGGGTTCGGTGAAACACACAATTGGGTCAAACGGAGTATCTTTTGGGAACTCCCATATTGGGGGGATAACTTGATCAGACATAATCTTGATGTCATGTACTGTGAGAAGAATTTTTTTGACAACATCCTACACACAGTCATGAATGACTTGTCCTCAAAAGACAATGTTAAGTCAAGAATGGACTTACCATTGTACTGTGATAGGGAAGAACTACACTTGTACTATGACAGTTCTGGGTCGCTTTGCAAGCTAAATGCAAGTTATGCACTTGACATGAATAAAAAAAGATGTTTATGTACATGGCTAAAAAATGTGCGATTTCCAGATTGCTTTGCATCTAACATCGCACGTTGTGTGAACTTAGCTGAGCTACGTTTAGTTGGATTGAAGAGTCACGATTGCCACATATTCATGCAGCGCCCCATTCCAATTGCTTTCCGTGACTTGTTACCGGATTCTATATGGGGTCCATTAACAGAAGTAAATAATTTCTTCCGTGCACTATGTTCCCCAAATGTCAACATAAAAGACATGGCAGTTTGGGAAATGAAGATAGTTGAAATAATATGTAAGTTGTAAAGAATCTTCCCACCATCATTTTTTGATTATATGCACCTAGCAATCCATCTTCCTTTCGAGGTGCGAATTGGTGGGCCTGTACAATTTCGATGGATGTACCCATTTGAACGGTAATGGAAACAAGTGTGCACTAGTTTCAAGTATAATAGAATCTATAATAATTTGTTATGCTCACATCTAATTTCAAATTTTACAGACAAATGCACAAACTTAAACAAACAATAGGGAACAAGAATCATGTTGAGGCATCCATTGTCGAAGCATACATTCTCAATGAAATAACAGGATTTTGCTCACGATATTTTGGTGCGGATCTTGAAACAAGTTGGAGTAAGCCCCCAAGGAACTTTGCAGCGGTTCCATTTTTATAAGAACACAGAATTCTCGATATTTGCGTGCCCTGGTCATCCAATGGGTTCACATTCACAGACATGCTATCTAACCACTCAAGAGATAAAGGCAGCTGAACTTTATGTCCTACTAAACTGTAGGGAAGTTGATGCGCTTCTTAGGTGAGATATGACAAACTAAACTCTTTTTTATTAAATTTTTAGAGTAAGCTTGCTGAATTATAGCAAGAAAGTTCAACATTCCATTTTTTTGTCACACATAATTGTTTCCATATTTCAGCATCTTTGATCGAGAAGTTGGTGTATATATGACCCCTTATACTCCACACAAAGCATGCACCAGAAGTTTTGTTATGTGGTTCAAATATAGGGTAAACAATATTTTTCTTCTTGTCATGTTCTTTCAATTATTATTATATACCTATACATATATAGTCATAGACAATGTATTAACTAATTGAGTTTTTAACAAAAATATTATAAATTTGACTAATAACATGTACATATAAATTTGGTAGGTGTTAAATGACTATCATGAAGGGAATGAGGTTTTGCAATACCTTGCACTGGGCCCATCATGGACAGTGAATATGTATGGAGGTTATTATGTCAATGATTTTAGATTTATGACACAAAAAGCCAGTAGTGAAATACAAACATATAACTGTGGTGTATGTGTGCAAGGAACAACCATATCTAATGATGCTGAGACTGATTATTATGGCATCCTTAACAAAGTCATCGAACTATTTTATTATGGACCACATGCACAAATGCAGACAATTGTCTTATTCAATTGTGATTGATTCAATACACGTAGGGGAACATGCATTAATCAAGTTTACAACATTGTTGAGGTCAACCCACGATAACAAGTGTCGACTGGCGAGCCATTTTGCTTTACGTGTCAAGCAACGCAAGTGTATTACAATAGTTACCCATTAGATAATCAAGCAACTCATGGATGGTTCGCCGTATGCAAAATATGTGCTAGACATTTGGTTGACGCTTCTTCAACCTTACTTGATATGGAAGAAATATTCCAAGATGAAGAGCCACCATCCACATAATCGAATGAGCATAGTTCCAATTTGGCATCTACAGAACGCATGAATCTGCATGCAGAAGGAGCAACAATGGTTGACTTAAATGGAGATGCAAATGATGATGTTGATGAAAATTCGAGTAAAGGAAATGAAGGATATGAAACAAGAGGTGATGTTGGTGACGATAGTAGTGAGACTGAATAGTCGTTAAATAATTGAAGTTCATGGACAATAATTGTTTTAAAATTTGGTTGTCATTTTAAAAAATAAATCTTGTGTATAAGACTTCGTAATTAACAAATATACTTATGAATGACTAGTGACTATTTCTTCAAATTTTGTTTCATTGCCATTATTTATAATGTTGTAAATGTTTATAAAAAGAAAATTTATAAACTGCACATATATTTATTTAGTGACATTAGTACTGACCTACTTTATGTGACCATATGTTTTGTAGGATGTTGGGTGGGCCCATCAACTCTGCGCGTAGTCGCAGCACATCAGGGAGACGAGGATGTCACAATGCTGTAGATCTTGCATGTGACGTTACCCCAATATTGGACGCGGAGCATACTCACTATATTAGTCCACAAGGTTCTATTCATGCAACAGCCTCATCCCATAATGGAAAGCAAAAGGGAAGAGATCCGAACAAACCAAAAAAGGCTGCAAGAAGACCAGATGATAGACCATTTATACAAATTTCGCATAAAGGCACCTTCTTGGATGTTGAAGTCCCTAGATTGATTACGACCCTATGGAAGAGGGTTTATGATGGTGATTACTTCACCTATGACTTGTTCCCAGAACTGAAAAGGCTGCAAGTGTGGGAGTTGTTTAAGGTAAGAGTAATTATCATTTCATACATAATCCTTCCATCAAATATGTAGCGTATGATTAATGATAACGTAACACATATATGATGAAGTATAAGTCACTATTGTTGGTGTATTGGTCGATACAGGTAATTTAATGGTATGAATACTACATATACTTAAAAAAAAAAAAAAAAGAAGAAAAGAAAACAATCATCATATGAATTTGGTAAAACAATATGGTATCACAATAGTCATCATAAGACACAAAAATCCTTTTAATTCTAAGTTTGTCAATAAAGTATTAAAAGTTTTGATTCGTTTCAATTAATTCTTTCGTATGGACAAAATGATAATTAAGTAAATACAAAAAAAAAAAGAGATATGGTGTATATACATGTGTTATTATACTATATGTTATTAAGTTACATGGAAATAATTTATTTGTATGTGGTGACAAACACATTATCAATGGGGTTTAGAAGATGAGGATGCGGTCCGAAAGGCATTATTAAGATCAATGAAGAAAGGATGGGGTGATAATATGAAGGATGAACGGGATAAGTGGCGTACAAACGATGAGTATATGCCGGTAGGGGTGTTGAACACCTATGGCCTACATTATGTGCTTATTGGGATTCTGATGAGTTTCACAATCTTAGCGAGAGAAGGAAGAAAAACCGAGCATCTGGGGAACGAGTTATACACACTACAGGATTAGTGAGTTTTGATGTACATGAAGAACGGATGGTAAGTAAGAAAAAAAAGAAAAGTATATATATATAATAGATAATGAACTCAAGTTATATTATTTTTGTATAATTATCAATTAACTATAAATATAAATAACTTGCTAACCTCGTATAATATGGTTGTGACACACAGACCAAAGCTGCTGGGGGGGTAAGGCCAACACACCAAGAGCTATACAAGGAAACACATACTTCACAAAAAGATGTCCCCCAAGGACAAGAAGCTCCATGGTACATAAGCTCGGCATGTAAGTGCAAACATACTAGATAAAAAGTTTTCTATGAGTGACATAGATAGTTAGAAAAAGTGAATAAAAGGTTTATTAATAAAGTTAGTGGTGTTAAATAAAATATAACAAAAATTTTGCATGAGTAAGCATTAGTATGTGTAGGTGTTCATGAAACAATTTTGTTTGGGTATTGATTGTCTCTCGATAATCGCTACTTTGTTATCACTTGTTCTTAAATAATAATTATTACATTTTTAGCATTGTTATGTGTATACAACATTTAAAAATTTGCAGTTATATGTTGTAGGCTTTTTTTGCATTACTTTTGTAGGATACATATATCAGTGAGTGCTCTGCTACATATGGCTCGGACTCAACATCATGGCCACCTTGGGACAATGACGCTTGAGCAACTGCTGTTGGGGGATGCCACAACAATTTCATGCCAGGAACTGGTTCACAAGAAAACCCAGAGGAACTTGGGTTTACATAAAGAAAACGACAACCAACGGGGACTTCATATGTGAGCTTGATGATATCAGACATGGCTGAAAAACAAGCCAAAGATAGGGAGGCAATGCAAATAATGCAAGATGAAATAGGGCAAGTCAAAGAGCAACGAGAAGCAATGCAACGGATGTTGGAAGACATGGGGAGGATGCTGGCTTCTCTATCGTAGCAATTTGCTGCTTTTAATGCCTACGGGATGCGCCCGCCTAGTGCTACCCCATCATTGCCTCACAGTGGGCAAGCATTTCCTTTTGTAAGGACATCATTCCCTACTGCTGGGCCATCGTTTCATGCTAGTGGGCCATCATTTCCTCATGCAATGCCAATGCAAATGCTAATAGAACCCATATTCCTCATGGGCCAAATGGGGAGACAGTCAGGATCTCCAGGTACATCTTCAGCCAATCCCCCACAAGATGATTATGGTTACCAGTCGAGATTTGATGTAGATTACCAGGGTCCATTTGGGCCGGAATGATCAGTGTGCATGAGGTTGTGAACGCAAAACTTGGCATGTTCTTTGTACTTAAGGAAAATACTTTTAGTTTTTAGAAGGGTGATTTGAACTTGTTAGGACATAGGTGTATATGTCAGTTGGAATTGAATGGTTTGTGGTAATATTAACTATATTACTATGACTTGCAAGTTTAGAATATGTAAATGGTCATGTTAAATGTCGCAAGTGGTACTTATATATTTATCTTTTAATTTATGAT